ATCTCCAGTCTCCACCAATCACTGTGGAGGTAGACACAGGCCAGAGAAGTGGGGAGGATCCTGGGGGACTCTGGGGCAGGAAGGTGGCTGAGGTGTACAGACTGAACCTAGCCCACTGTCTCTGGCACCACACTCCCAGATGAAGGGTATGCTGGCTATGAATATCCTCAGTGCCATCATGGCCGGAGTGGGCATCATCCTCTCTTCCTTGTCGCTCGTGTTCCACGCATACCGATCCTGCTCCTGGACTGAGCATTACACGTCCCGTGCCCCAGCCTGCCAAGTGCCCCTGGTGAGTACGGGAGCTGCTGGGCTTGTCCAGCTCTGCCCCATGAAGCTGGGACATTGGTGCTGCCTGGGACCCTGCTCATCAGGGCCCGGATTTAGCAGTTGGGCCTGATTCCCTGAAGGGCATTAGGAGCAGGAGCTCAGTAGAGGGGTGGTGCTTCAGGGAGCAGGTGGGAGGTCACTGGGGGGCACTGCATTGCAGGGAGCAGGAGAACCAGCAGGGGATGCTCTGCTTGAAGAAGCAGAAGGCTCCATAGGGGGCATGATGCTATGGGAGCAGGGTAGGTGCCCAGGAGGTTCAGTAGAGGCTGCTGTGCTGCAGGCAGGTGCAGGGATGTAAGTGACTAGTTGACTACCCGATAGGCATATCAGGCACTCTCATAGACTTTAAGGTCAGAAGGGACCACCATGATCATCTAGTCTGAGGCCCTGCACAGGGCAGGCCACAGAATCTCACCCACCCACTCCTGGAATAATCCTCTCACCTATAGCTCAGATACTGAAGTCTTCAAATGATGGTTTGAAGACCCCAAGATACAGAGAAACCTCCTGCAAATGATCTGTGCCCCATGCTACAGAGGAAGGTGAAAAACCTCCAGGGCAGTGGTCCCTAACCTTTTGGGGCTCCTGAGCGCCAGGGGGTGGGGCCACTCATGTTCCGGGTGCCCGGGGGCGGGGCCGCACACGTGCCTGGGTCGGAACAGCCCATGTGCTGTATGCCCAGGGCTGGCGCCACTCCTGTGCCTGTGTGCCCAGGAGCTGGCAGTGCCTATGCGCCGCGCGCCTGGGGCCAGCGCTGCTCCTGTGCCGCATGCCTAGGGGTGGGGATGCCCATGTGCTGTGTGCCCGGGGGCGGGGCCGGCCCCGATCATTCGGTGGGTGCCCAAAAATGGCCCGGTAGGTGTGCTAACTAAGCTTCAGTGTATTGTGTTAAGTTGCTACTCCCGCCCTCTCATGAGTGGAGCAGTCACCACTCTCATCCCTGGATTGGAACAAAGCAAAACTTCATGAGGCAAGCTTAAGTCCCACTACCCAAATTGTCTCATTCTGGAGCTTTCTTTGGTCTGCAGCAGCTTAAATAAAGTGAATCTGTTTAAGACTAGTAATGGGGTCCCACACAACTTTATTTCCACATCAATGTGGACTTTGCTTATTGCAGAGCGAACCTCCCTTCTCTCAAGCTAGAGGTCCTACACAACTATGGCTACATCTAGACTACACTGTTAAATCAGAACCAAATTTCAGAAAAAAGTGCTCTTTCGAAACATCCCTTATTCCTCATAGAACGAGATTTACACTGGAAATACCTCGCCTAATGCATCTAAAGACCGTATTAGCCTTTTTTCACGGCCATGTCACAATGGCGGCTCATTGGTCATTCTGTGATCAACCAGGACTCCGAGGTCTTTCTCCTCTACCGTCACTTCCAACTGATGTCCCCAGCTTATAACTAAAATTCTTGTTGTTAATCCCTAAATGCATAACCTTACATTTCTCACTATTAAATTTCATCCTATTGCTATCACTCCAATTTACAAGGTCATCCAGATCTTCCTGTATGATATCCCGATCCTTTTCTGAATTGGCAATAGCTCCCAACTTTGTGTCATCCACAAATTTTATCAGGACACTTCCACTTTTGGTGCCAAG